TTATTTTAAAACATGAAAATGGCAGAACACTGAACATTTTAAAATCTAGATGGTTGGTTTATGGATGTGATCTTGACTTTTCCTTAATGTTAAAAATAGTTCGTAAATATTTTTTAAAAGATTTACTGATGCCACGCATGGTGGCACACACCTGTAATGCGAGCACTCAGGAGGCTGAAACAGGATTGCTCTGAGTTTGAGTCCAGCCTGGACCACATAGTGAGTTCAAGGCTAATCTAAACTACATAGTGAGACCCTGCATCAAAAAAAAAAAAAAAAAGAATATACTGCTATATTTCATAATTAGGAATCAAAGTTATCTGAGAACTATACTAATTTATTAAAAAGAAAAACTCTAGGGCCGGGAATTTCACTCAGTGGTTCCACCGCCTGCCCCATAAGCACAAGGTACCGAGTTCGATCCCCGGTACCAAAAGAAAAACTAATATTGTCTGAAAATGATGGATTGAGTATTTTTCATTCAAAAAGAACAGAATATCTGTTTTCTCCTAAAAATATTTTCATACTTTGTTCCTAACTCCATAAGCTAGGTATTATCTTCATGAAGAAAGTAAAATAAGAAAACTAAGACTCAGAAATTAATTTAGCTAGTGACACAAGGAATAAACAGTAAAGTCAGGATTCAAACCCAGATTAAAAGGTTCAATTCCAAGATTCATAATGTCACATCACACTGCCTAATTCAACAAACTAGCAAATTCTGGAAGAGTGACAGGCTTCGTGATTGAGGAGGCTTGAAGATTGGACATGGGTTCCTTCCTCTTTAGTTCTAACCAGAAGGTTCTCAAAAAGCTTCCTTTCCAGACTGCTTTTCCTAGTGCCTAGGTTGTCCCAGTGCCTGCATTAACCAGTCATGTGACTTCAGACATAAGAGCAATCATCAACCTTAACCTACAGGGTAGTGGCTGTGAGGAACAAACGTTAGCCAAGTTCTTGAAAACAAAATGCAGCCACATTATGGTATAATAAGCAACTGCTGCACTATATTCAAATTGTCTGTATGCCTATTAGCCCACACCCTGCCCAAAATTCAAAATCCAAGGAGAGAAGGGAACTTACTTGTCAATCATCAAATACTACTTAGGTAGCCATTAAAAACAAGACAAAAAATAAATTCTGGCCAAATTTTCATGCTATATTAAATATATCAAACTGCATACTTTTATAGTCCAAATTTTATAAAATCTTATGTACAGTACTAACTGGTCCCAGTCTTATTCAGGAGCATCTTGGCAGTAAGTAAATACATAGGCACCTTCATCCTGGAACACCCAGTAGAGCAAGAGCCCATGTAAGAGGTAGCAGACTTAAAAAACTTTCATCAGCCAGGTGGAGCAACTGCCCATGTGTCACCAAGGGTGCAAATGTAAAGTCACCATTTTCTGTCCACATAATGGAATCCCCATGGTCAGACTTCTCTTGGTCCTTGTCATAGAATCCAGACTTCAGGTGTTCTAAGGGGTGACCCTGCCACCCAGTACTTCATAGACACCCCAAATATTCCTCCAAAGCAAATGTCAAGCAGGCCATGTTGCTTTTAAGTCACATCCAGCACCTCAAATAAAATCTTCTAATCTTTCCACCTAGATATTTTCATGTGGTTAACAAAAAGCTTTTATTTATGGAGAAACAGCATAAAAATCCTAAAGGACAGATATACAACAAAATGTTAAAACATAGGTATCTCATATAAAATGGGTAAGTTCTGAAGACCTAATGTACAACATAGTGACTATAGTTACCAATGTACTGTACACTTGAAATTTACTAAGTATATCATAAGTATTCTCACCATACACACACACAAAAATGGTAACTACATGAAGTGATGGGTATGTTAATTCACTTGCTACTGGTAATTTTTCACAATATACACCAATGCCAAAATACCACATCATAATATTTAATTTTAGATAAACATAAAAATGTATGTATATATATATTTACCTATACATATGCATACATGTATATAGATGCATATGTATACATGTATATATAAATATACATAACTTGTCAATTATACTTCAATGCAGCTGGAAAACAATTTATCTCCTATAATAGGATTATGACATAATTCACTTCTTGTATTTTCTGCAATTTTTCTACAATGAACATCAATTCTATAATTAACATATGAACTAACAAAGCCAAATGTCACATCCAGTGCACTGAACTGCCAGAATTATATTTCAATTAATTTTATTGTAATTTTCTCTTTTTTTGTTGTTTTTTGAGACAGGGTCTCACTATGTAGTAGTTCAGACTGACCTTGACCTCACTATCTAGCCCAGGCTGACCTCAAACTCACAGCAATCCTCCTGCCTCAGCCTCCTGAGTGCTGGGATTACAAGGGTGTGCCACCACACCTGGCCTCAAATTAATTTTAAAGCGACTATGTCACCCAGCAGTATTACAGTAGTCCAATATTCACATGCCAGAGTATACAAAAAGATGCAGACCCTGTTCCTGATACAAATAGGAGAGTAAGATGTGCACATATAAAAATGTCAAAACACCAGGCAGTAGAGTACTGCCAAAAGGTACAGCAGCTCGAGGCACTTCATATATGTTTTGAGAAAGGGCACATGTATTTATTTGTGAGCTACAAGAAGGATGAAGCACTCCATGGAAAAGGGGACTTTGTACAGGAACTTGCAAGATTCAAATTAAAACCTGAGGAGGCAATTCAGAAAGAGGAAAAGCCTAAGCAGACTGTGACACTTGGGTATCAACATGAGCCTCTGAACCAAATAAACAGCCTCTCAGGACACGAGAACCCCAGTGCTTTCTGGAAATGAAAAAGGTAAAAATGACAAGGGAAGAACAGACAGCAGACCTGGGATCAAAGAAATTTGGGGAGCACTAAGTTAAATTTACAAGGAGTTCTGCAAGCTCTTGATAAGCGAATGGCCATGAAGTCCCCCAGGTGAGAGAAGAGAGCTAGTCTTACTTGACCAGATTCCTTTCTTCACTGAACATGAAAATGCCTTAGGAAACACTACAGATTAACAAAGGCAAAACAATGAAGAGCAAATGGGCAGTTTGCCCTCAATCCTTATAATAAAGCCAGGATTTTCCACGAACAAAGGATGGCCTACTAACACACTTTTAAGTTTTTCCAGAGTGAAACTCAAAACCAGATACTGTTGCCACCATAACATTCCCATCTCATCTACTTATCAAAATTCCCAGGAAAGGTCTGTTCCTATTCTTCTGAGAACACTTACAGTCAGCAGTCCATTCCTAATGATCTGAAGGCTCTGGAAGAAGCGTGCCTTCTTAGGAAATTATTGAAGGGCTACTATGAAATTAGGAAACACAAGAGGATTCCAAGTACAGCATGATAAACAGTTCTTTAAAAAATTAGCTGGGTACAGTGGCAGATGGAGTGTTTCACGGAAAAGTAGACCTCGAACAGGACCATGCAAGACTCAGATTAAAACCTGAAAGAGCAATCTAAAAAGAGAAGATGCCTGTTTGTTACTTGGGAGTCTGAAGCAGGAAGATCACAATTTCAAGGCCAGCCCGGGCAACTCGGTAAGACCCAGTTTCAAAAAAAAAAAAAAAAATCTGGAGATACAGCTTGTGAAAGTGTTGCCTAGCATGTGTGACGTTGAGTTCAATCCTCAGCACTACAATCTATCAATCAAAGAAATCTTACAAAAAGTACTGAGCAACTGCTGCAAATTACAGGTGGTAATGCATGTGTTGTAAAAATCAGTTCAGGGCACCATAACCAGCATTTAAAGAAACACTAGATACATCACATACAGGTAGGGCAAATAATGTTTTATAAACCATTTCTCTTTATCTGTTATACATACTATATTGACTATACATACTATATTGACTATATTGTGTTCTGGACTGGTGTTCAAAATTTATTTCCTACTTGGGTCACAGATAAAATGTTTGCAAATCAGTCCTCTACAAGACAGAGGGCTTGGACCGAAGGCTGCAGCATTCACTGAGAAGGCCACGGAAACTTAGCAGCAGGAAGAAAAGAAAGCTAAACAGAAGAGGGACTTAAGAGTATGAATAAAGGAAACCAATGAAAATGCTAAGGTAACTACACCTGGGGAACTGAGTGGCTATAATCACAAACAGGTGATCATGAAGGAAAGCTGGTTAAGTGGTACACAGGGGAGGCAGGGAGGTGCATTTGCTTTCAAGAGACAAGAGACCATCCAGATGAAACCCCAAAACAGCTCTCCCACACAACTTTTATTTATTTTTTGTTTGTTTGTTTTTGGTACCGGGGATCGAATTCAGGTCCTTGCACTTGCACAGCAGGCAGCGAAACCACTGAGCTAAATCCCTGGCCCTCCCACACAACTTTTAAAAAAAGTCTACAACATAACTTTAATTTGGTCACTTTTAACAATACTGTATTAATTCTTTCAGTTATATAATGCTTTTAAATTTAAACTCTGTCCTCAACAAGGTGGTTGTGACAGTTAAAAGCATATAATCACACTAAAGAACTAATACCATCAGTTAGTTCCTGGCTATTACATTATTTACCATCCCAAGGGCTTCATTCTGATTTAGCACTTGATGGAAATGTCCAGAAGAGCCTGTCATTTGGCTCCCTGCATGTGGACAATGATTTCATCAGCACAGAGACGCATGAGCCATGTGTGCTCCACGGCACTGGCTCCACTAAGACAGCATCATGCCAAAAGGTACCCCAAGGCTGCTATACTCTGTGCCCGTCCTGAGGGAAACTGTACAGTTTGGCTCTAGAGCCCTGCTGATCCACCTAGGGGACACAAGGGAAATGGCTGAACTCCAAGAAATCACTTTATCCAGGACTGAATCCCCAACATATAGCAGACTACACATAATTAACTGAGACAGAGTAGACTTTAAATGTAAAATGTCATCCTCAACATGTCTGTGATGAAAAGAGTTTTGCTTTACAGAAGCCATTTTATGTATAAATTACACTAATTACCAATATTTAAAAACATCCAACATTTAAAGGTTCTGAATTTCTGGTTTATTAGGCAGCAGGGAAATAACAGGTTTAGATTATGCTACAAAAAGAACCCATTGCTCATAAACAGCAACTGGGCTTGCTTGGGGGAAGGTAGGGGAAATTCTTCAGACTACTGTACAAGGACACAAAGACTTCTCACCCTAAGGAAGGTATTAAACAGTACAAAGACAAATTTCTTGTAAGACAGAAAACAAAAAAATTCACATACTAAAGAACATCTCCATAATAACTATAACACATCCCTTAAGGGATAAGCATGTACTTGTAGGAAGCAAACAAAGCTTTCCATAGAGAAACCACTTTCACGAGATGATTAGGTGGACCTGCAATGAAGAAAATACATTTCAAAAGATGTGTTCAGACTTACACTAATTTTTCACTAAAATACTTTTAAAAATAAAAATAAAATTCTTGTCTTTATCAAAAGATTTAAAAATATACCATGGATAAAATAAACTTCAGCAAATGTCTAAATTCTATTCAGAGACATACACTTGCAAATAATATAAATTAAAAATAAATTGTGACAACAAAAATACTATGTGGAATTATTTTGACTAGGCCAAGCTAAGTTCGCATTCTGCTTTAAGGCATTACATTGAAATGAACCTCGTTCTTACTATATTTTCTTTTTAACCTTAATCACCAGCGGCTGGATAACCAAAATGGACATGAGAACTATATAAATGTCAGAGAAATATGTAAACCTCATTAATGTTTCCAAAAATTCATTTAGAGATAGAAACAGGTCCAAATAGATGCCTGTCTAAATGTACTGCAATTACGTTACAATTATTTTTCCAAATACACAGATATGCTCTGTCTTTTCTCAGCTAATTACTGACTCAAACAATTTGCCCTTCTGGGATCAATTGTTTGCTAATAAATAATTGTTTACAGTCACAAAATGATGTTAGAAGGTTTTCTTATTAGTTTTCCTTCTGCACCCTAATAAGATTGAAAACTAGCTGATTCCCAAGAGTCTAACCTTAACCTCGCTTTGTTTAACAGCCCAGGAAATGATGAACCATCTGCTCCAGAAAATAATGGACGGCCAAGAGGAAATATTGTTTAATTGTATATTAACCTCCTCATGAGGCAGTCTGAAGCAGCTTTAGAATTGGCAGCTATAACCAGCAAAAGAAAAAAATGGCTCAAGAGCCTTTTCCTCTGCCATTTAAGGTCCAGAAAGAATGCAAAGGGATTTTTATTACCTCTATTTATTTACAAACATTTATTTCCGCAACGGAAACAAAAATCAGCAAGGTCAAAACTGACTCTAAAAAGTAGTCATTCCCTCCCAATTTTGTTTGCCTAAATACCTTTAATGCAGCAAATCATCAAACAATCTCAAGCACTTAAGAAAGTGTTTATTTAAAAAAAATCAATAAAAACCTCTTTTCCAATATTTTCAAGTTCTTATAATATTAAGATTAATATTTTCCCTGGTTTCTTTGTTAATAGTAATAAATCCACCATTGGGGAGTACAAATTGTTTTAATATCATCAACATGGCACTTAAGTAAATGAAATCTTGTCAAGTACATGGTGACCTACAAGTTCAAAAGAAAAAAAGAACAGGATGAGATCAAAATGGCCGACCAGGACAAGAGATATAAAAGTGACAGATTAAGTGCAAACACAGCCTTTCATTCAACAGGCTTCACATGCTAAGAGTTTTCTAAAGTAAACCCTGTAAAAGCATGTATGATACTGAATATTTAATACTCTGCCCCCTCTTAGGGCCTCCACCAATTTAGCAAGGCTATGATACCCATTTTAATTCAGGAAAGTACAGGAATCCTGAAAATATTCGGTAATTCCACAAATATTTATTGAGGACTTCCTTCAATGGGCTGGGAATGGAGAAACAGGAAACAGACAAAGACACTTAGGGGAAGACATTTTACAGTATAAAATGTGCCTAAGTATCAGTCTTCCCAGAGCCCAGTAGAGGTCATTAAGTGGAAAGTTTTGCTCTGTTGGTACCAAAAAATGTAAATGGTTCCTCTCAGTCAACAATTACAACCAAGAGCCAAAGACATCCATGAAAATTTGAAAACTAAGGAAACTCACTATTCTAGACAAGGCCGTACTATTCTAGGTTTCCAATAAGACCTGAAGGTCATTCACTTTGTGTAAATATTATAGAAACAACCTCTGCAGAGAGGAAAGATTTTTGGCAATTCAAATTCTTAAATATCTTAAATAGAATTTACTAAAATAAATTATTCTTGAATTCCTCAACTTAATTTTGAAGCAATGAGCTAGTAATAACCCCAGAGATTCAAATAATAGAATAATAGAGCCTATTCAAGAAGAATGAGAGTTTGACATTCTTCTCTACAAAACAACTAGGCACAATTTTATCCATCAGACGTCTATCAACCTACGGATATTGAAAGCTTGGGAGAACAAGATAAAATCAACTCCAACCCTACAGTCAGCTGTAATATCAAGCAGGCATCAACAATGCTATTCATGAATTTAGAAAAATTAATAAATCCTGGGTTGAATGCAAGAAAAGGCTCAAATACAGGTGAAGCATACTCACTTGGGTTTTGTTTCTGCATCTGTCACTTGGCGAATAAAGATACCATCTTCAGGATGTTCCGTGTCATCCATTTCATACATATATGATGATGCTATTGCAAGTGTAGTCCCATCATTGCTGAAGGCAAGTGATGCGATGCTGGTGGGGTACCGATGAAACTGGCACAGTCGCTTTTTGTTAAATGGATCCCAAATATTTACAAAGCCATCAGAACCACCTGCAGTAATTTCAAACCAGTTAAAATGGCTCTTAACATCAGATACAGAAATAACTATTATCTTAACAGCTAATTTTTAAGGTCAGAGAAATTACATTTCCCCCAAGAAGTATTTTTCCCTAAATATCTAAAAAACAAATACAAACTTCTAAAAATAATTCTGCCTAAGCACCAATGGTGTTCAAATAATTTTTAAAATTCTCTAGTCTTAATAATTACATATGGGTTAGCAGGCCATACTTCACCTGTAGCAAATGTATTGTGGATGTTATGAAAGGAAATGGCATTGACTGGGTAAATCTGCTCAATATTATTTTCTTTTAGTCTGTGACATTTGAAGGCATACTTCTTCTTCTGCACCTCAGGGCTTGGGTCCAAGTATTCAACTGCCACTCGGCCTTCAATAGAGCTCAATACATAACCCTGGCAAAAGGGAAGTAGAAGACAAAAGTGGTAAAATCCAGCTTCCAAAAATAAAGCACTACTTCCCGAATTCAATCCACACTAAATAAAGATGATTATTTTAGAAATAAAAAGAAATTACAGCCACACTTTAACAAAGTGTTTAAGCTGTATTGACATAACTATGACAACTCTAAAAATGTAGTTACAAGTATTAAAACCAAGGGGCCAGGGATTTAGCTCAGTGGTGCTGCTGCCTGCCTTGCAAGCTCAAGGTCCCGAATTCGATCCCCGGTACAAAAAAAAAAAAACAACTATTAATACCTGTTTATGAGAAATAAGTCTATCATCTCTTGCTTTCTTCACTGTAACAGCACTTTAAACATCATAATAAAAAATGTCTACTTATTTTGTCACACTTGAACAAGAATTTTTAAGTGTTAGTATCATTTACTTGTTTCCTGTCCAGAAAGAGACTCAAATTTCTTCCTTCAGTTATAATGCATTGTTTTATGTTCTAGGCCTCTTCATCTCTAACAACTGTAAGAACTGTTTCCTCTGCAGGAAGCATCAATAATCCAAATCGACCTTAACACCAGTCTTCCATCTCAGTTGTTCTGCCTCTCACATTTACTACAACTAGTCAGGTTTGCACATAACACAGACTTTTGGGAATGATCAAAAGTGGTTTACAATTTCAAACCTTTTCTTGCCTTTACGTGACAACATACCTTAAAAAAAAAAAAGGTAGCAGATAATTTGCTGAATATGAAATCAATGTTTTATATCTTTTCTTATCCTTCAACATATGAAAGTTATTTCCTAAAAACTGTTCTTAGAAAAAAAATTCAGTAAAACACTATTTTAAGTTTCCAATATAAAGTGGAGACAGTTCTACAAAAATTTTAAGATACAGACATAAAAGTTTGTACAATGCAAGCATATTTTAATTATATACTATATTTAAATCTCTTTAGTTTCACATAACTACAATTCCTATCAACAGAAATTTACAAATTCCTGAAAAAAAACTGTGATCATCATCTGAGGTACTGGCCTTTTGAGATAAAGAGCCAACAGAATAACTGACATAACTGCTTCAAATTCCACAATCACTGAAGGACCGCCATGATTTAAAACACGCCCACTGTTTTTAATGAGTTTTCCTTTTACAAAATTCTTATTGTAGGGCCGGAGATTTAGCTCAGTGGTTTTGCCACCTGCTGCGCAAGCACAAGGACCCAAGTTCGATCCCCGGTACCAAAAACAAAAAAACAAACAAAATTCTTATTGTAGCTGAGCACACCACCAACTCCCCCTTACAAGTTGAAGGATTAAGAGAAGAAGGTAGGTCACTAATAAACTTACTAATCTCTTTTAATGGTGATGGAAGGAGACCCAACCTACACATAAAGAGTCCTTAGATGAGGAGCACTGCCCCATTAACCTCGATGGAGTTCGGTTTTTTAACATCAAAGTTTTATTATCAGATAGAAGAAATAACTATTACTATCAGGATTACAAGAAGGTAAAAAGAGAACAGCAAATTCTACAAAACTAAATTTCCAGATTTAAGTTTTAATTTACTGGTTTGTAAACCTAAAATACCTGCAAAACTCTTTGGTTAACCGTAAACCTAACAAGCATCCTGGACCAGGATCAACAAGAAAGCAAGACTCTATTCAATCCACTGAGTGATCCTGTGAAGATGACTTAACTTCTCTCACCATCAAGCTCTTTTCTAAAATGGGGGTTAATATATTATCTTTTTTTTTTTTTTTTTTTGGTACCAGGGATCGAACTTGGGTCGTTGCGCATGCGCAGAAGGCGGCGAAACCACTGAGCTAAATCCCCAGCCCAATATATTATCTTTTA